ATACATGAATTTGTCATTAAATTATTTTAAAATATTGTGTGTTCATATTAATGATTTAAAAAGAACATATACACAAACATATGTCCTCCCTACTACATGCATACTTAGCTATATACCCCCCTTCCGTACACCCATCTCTATTTACCATGTACCAACGTATAACTAACTATACGAGCACACTATAGGTCTAGAGATGTGTTTTACTGCAATCCCAAATGCACGTTTATTTTTCCCACATTACTTATTCTTAATCTGTGCACTATAATGTTTCGCACTCTTCTTCATGTTTGTAGCTAGGAACGAGCTGGTGTCGATCGACCGACCGACACGAGAAACTGCCCGGATACACTACTACCCCAGTGCTGTTGACCAGCGACGTGCGTCAGCTCGAGGGCTATCTGGTCTCTTCAGTGTGGAGTACGACATCGATAGGAACTTTGATGCTGGCGATGTTTTGGTAAATACGTAACTAATAATAGGGTAACACCATCGTGAGTTACCAGGTGGCTTTGGAGAAATCGTATTTCAAAAATGATTGATCATCAATTAAAAAATGTTGATTTGTTTATTAATTAAATTCTTTTTCATTGCCAATGCTAGATTACGTAGTACAAGATAAAGGTTTCTGTTTGTATTTCAATTAGTGTTGCTATTTTATTGATCAGCAGAATTTAATCCTAACAGAAGAAATATAAACTGTTAAAATTCTTATTAAAGCGGACTCAACGTTTATTGTATTGCTAAATTATAACAGATTAAAGCATTGAAGAATTAGCGCACTCAAAATATATACGAATACAAAACAATGTACCGGAACTTAAAAGCGCCATTAAATACCGCTAAAATAAGTTCCCATACAGTATATAAGATTATGAGATAAAAAAGATATTAATATATAGGTATTCATATGTCTGAACAGCAAGAAAAGCAAAACCGTTTCTATTAAAGACATCATTCTTAGAGTGATATCAACACAATTGAAGAAAACGCATTAATAACTAATTTCACAATTAACTTAAGAATCTTTCTTTTTATTTCTCCTGAGAATATCATCCTCAAATTCCATATACATTATCTGATTTATCTTTCTTTTCTTTTTATGTTGTGCTATAAGGTTGTGAACGGTTTCTTTGTCCATTACTTTGCACCCACTGGTATGGACCCTATCCCAAAGGACATCCTGTTTGTTTTGGATACCAGTTCTTCCATGTTCGGAACAAAAATTGCACAGCTTCGTGACGCCATGCATATCATTCTCAATGATCTTCACGAAGCTGATAGATTCAACATCATCAAATTTAGCACGACAACTACTTTCTGGAGACCGGGGAAGGTTATATCAGCAACCCGCCAGAACATCGCTGAGGCGGAGGGATATGTGACAACAATGACATCTGCTGGCTGTATGTTCACATTTTTATATAATCGTTTTTGCAAAATCATTGAATCACAATTACTAAGATGAGAACGAGCAGTGTTAGTTTATCTTCTTTTTTGGAATACCTGCCTTTTCAAAATCAAATAACACAATATAATTCATTGTATAAAGATATTTAGTTTTAAATTATCTTCCAGGGACAAATATTAACGAAGCAATGACGTATGGGATAGATTTCCTAAATAGCATCGGTGACGACACAGGCCGTGTAAAGCTGATGGTTTTCCTAACGGACGGATCACCGACCAAGGGTGAAGAGAATACCGACATTATACTTGAAAACGTCAAAACAAGAAATATCAGACACATCGCTATCTTCACTCTTGCGTTCGGAGAGGACGCAGACTATGAGTTCGTGAAGAAAGTTGCACTTCAGAACGACGGAGTGGCGAGAAAAATTTACGAGGAATCTGATGCGGTACTTCAGATCAGTGGATTTTATGCAGAAATTTCTCGGGCGGCTTTGAAAAATGTAACATTTAGATACTTAAATAGTTCGACAAACCTACAGAACGTAACAAAGAATTCTTTTAATTCTTTCTTTTCTGATTCTGAATTAGTTGTAGCTGGTCGTATAAAAAACACTGATATGAAAAGATTGAGTCTTTCGGTGGAAGGCAATGGTGTACAAGGGGACATATCACTAGCTCTTTCTGCCAGCATACTCGATCATTCCACTCCCGAACTGTTTCCAAGTCTGACAAGGCCAGAGGATTTCGAGAAGATTACAGAGAGGATCTGGGCATACGTCACAATCAAACAGTTGTTGGACGAGGCTGTTGGTGAACTCAACTCCACCGCCGTACAGAGGGAAAATGTCAGACAAAAGATCATAGCTATGTCAATGAAGGTAACCCTTTTATTAGATTACTTTCGACGCAACCTCTCTCGTGATTCATCTTTTTTTTTAAATCTTTGTAATATCAAATAAAAGGTATTATTTTTGCTGAGTACATAAATATATGATTATAAAATTTTAACCAAAAAATCTTACTTATCTTTTTTAAAATAATATCCCAACAAGGCTTGATAATAATCAATACTAGGGTTCGCCTGAAGTTGAAATCTCTCCGATTTTCTCACACATTTATGTGGAGACTCAAGTTCCAATTCAAATGGAGATGGATCCAAAGAGTCTGTGATGTAATTCTGTATCATATTTCTTTGGCTGATCCTACTAGTTATATAAGAAATTGTTACTTAGTTCGACATGGGACTTACTGCATCACACAGTTTCTCAGATGTGTTGACGGTCATTATCTACATGAAGCTACGAGTCCGTAGTTTTGTTTTTTATGTATTGCTTAAATCTCACTGCATTAGTTACGGTACAATATGCTCTTGGGGGAAACATTGCGAATTGGCAAGCTTTGGCCTTTGCATTATGCAACTTCAAATAACGTTAAGATAAGGTATTATGATGATACTTTTTATGCGCAACAAGTTTATGAGATTATCTTTGGGGTAACTTAAAAACCTACCTTAATAAACAAAACCGTTTTGGTGATTTAATTTGAAAAAAATGACGTTAATAAGCACTATGTTTTACGAAAATGTTAAGCACTACATCTCTGACGCTATACCTCGTTCGTTGTTTTGCATTAACTAGCTTTCGCTTTATTCCGTTTTTCAATAATATTTGATTATTTTTGTGACCTCCCACTAAGTTTTCTAGATAGTGTGTTATCACTCCTTGGTCATGCTTTATATACACATGTTAATGCTCAATATATCATATTCATCGAAACAAGCCCTATCTTGGATCTTGGTACAGACCAAAACATTCTTGGCCGGGCGAACAGGTAACTGATTAAAAGAATTACATTTCAAAATAAAACATCAAACGCATTTTGGATAGCAGGTTAACTTGATGCACGGTCTCTCTCGCAGCTCCATCCAACGTTACACCCTATGGTTTTATACTTTAATTGTTTCCACTCTCACATGCTGTAAATACATCAACTACAATGATTTTCATAGGGTGAGTTCCCGTTTTCTATTTGAAAAAGAATATTTAATTGACTGTTACAGTACCACTTTGTGACCCCCCTGACGTCACTGGTGGTCATAAAGCCGGATCAAAGAGAAGTCGGCAATTTGCAGGAAGGCGAGGATGCTGAACGTAAGACATTTATATGGGACATTTACAAATTGATATAGATGATAGTACATTTTTGCTCATTACAGTATACATATATTTGAATTTTTGCTAACATGAAATATCGTAAACTCGCTTTCGTTTCCGGTATTTAATGAATATGTTAAACTACGATATAATGCATGATTCAAATTATCAATGATTACTACTTGTTGTTGACAAATTATTATTGTTATTATTATTTTTTAAATTAAAGCAATATCATCGACAATATTTATCACTGTATTGACAGGACTGTTCCATTATTGTCGACCTATTGTTTACTGTGATGTTACTTAGTTGAATTAACGTGTAAAGCAACAGGATTTGATCATGTTTGTAATGAATTCCACCAAGGTAGTAACTGGCCTTTTGACAGGAAATGACGTCATATAGTAGACAGCGCCTATATTTCCTTGGACATATTCTCGTCTTTGACAAGTATATGCGAACTGGATTTATGTTATCTGGGTTCCTCAATTCATCTTTGGTGTGCAGGAAGTTAAATAATTGGTGATCTATAATAATGCAGTGATATAAAAACCTGTATAAAGTTTCATATCTTTTGATATTAGAACGCATAGGAATTCACAAAAGACGCCTGATTAACATGGATGTCGCTGGCGACTAAAATTGTGCGATAAAAGAGCAAAAAAA